CCATGTTGACACTCCAGTCATAGGAGTCGTAGGCACTGCGGAACCGGGACACAGGAGAACCTGGCTCCCCGCCGGCGATGCCTCGCTTTTGCCTCGCTTTTGCCTCGCTTATTCCGCCCCAATCCAGCTCCCGGCCGCAGAACTCACCGTCCTTGCCGCCGAGCGTCGCTGAATCAAATAAGGCAGTCCCTTCCTTGGACTCACAGTCTAAATTTTATGTCATTATAGTTCTACTTTATATAGATATAGCATATTATTTTCTATTTAGCAGTTGGAAACAAACAAAAAAAAAAACACAGAGTGAAGATTTCTTCATCCAAAGGAAAAGTCTTGATTTAATATCACAGCTAAATAAATGAGAAGAATCATGAACAATTAGAATGGCGTGTTCTGATTAGGGAACTGAATCTGAAGCCAGCACACTAGTAAATAAGTAGAATATGCTCTACAAAGCCCAATGAAGTAATTTAGAGAACTGAGAATCCATATCATCTAGACTGAGAAGCTGCAGTGTTAGATTCCAATTACTGCTTCCAAAAATAAATTAAAACTAAGGGTCAAAACCCAAGTATCTTAATGCATAATAATCCATTTGTTTGAGAGATTCCAGTCTGTGATTATGAAGCTTTATAAGACAGGTGGTACTCTTATGAAAACCTTTATATGCACAGAATTAGTTTCTCAGATGAAAACTAATCATTGATTCACTAATTATTCATTCCAGGTTATCTACCAGCTGGAAGGAGGTACTCAAATACTCTGTGTAACAGACAGTTGTGGCGCCCAAGAACTAATTCCTGAGTATCACGACCAACATAATCATCTTCAATCAGGTACAACAAAAATGAAAATTATCTGTAGCCTGTCGGATAATGTATCATAGATTGTTAATGTGCAACAGCATGTCTTAATGCAGCAACACTGGGAGAGAAGCCAAAGCTAACGTAACTGTCACTCGTTATTATTTAACTTTGGATTGTAACAGAAAAATTGCTGGGTGCTTCAATGTCATAAGAATGATGTAATGGATATATTGAATTTATTGAAAGTTTTTAATATACAGATTACTTTCTATATAAAGCACATTTAGCATATATTTGCATTTACCCTAGCTTGCCACCAAGTGTCAGTGTTTCTCTATAAATGAAAACCAGTAGTGTGGTCTATGGGTGTTCTTTACCCTTGGGATTCAGAAAGTCCCAGTAATATTTACATAATTCTGTGACCTTGAAATGCTATCAGTTTTTAAAGAAAATAATTTCTGAGGTCCTAAAGTTAATGCTATTTAGATGGAGTAACCCATTTTCATCTGAGCAGCAGCAAAGTACTTGAGTGTAGTTTAGTTTTAATTTAAATATTTCTTTAGTTAGTTATAGTTTCCTCAAAAACATATTAACATCGTTTATTTCATTATTTGTTATTATAATTTTATTACAGTGATTCATTTTGATGGCAATGTGAAAACAAAGCATTTTAATCTTATGCACGATACGAGCATAGATATTGTGCTGAGTGTGAGCATCTGTCAGCAGACGCCCCAGGTATGGAGCCTGTTAATTTATATTTGTCAGAAGCGAACAGAAAAGTAAACCTGGCACATTCAAGTTAAAGGTCATGTTCCTTTACAAAGTTCAAACTCATTCATGTGCTGTAATGTTAGGGAGCAAAAAGCTGAGGAGGAGTGCACTGGTATGTGTTGTTTAGTTTTCATTTGAGCTTTCTTCTGTTTTACTCATCTTACAGCAAGTAAAAGAATTAGTTCCAGAAATTATATCTAAAAGTTTCTAGGGGCTAATCTTGTCAATTTTTGAATTAAGCTGTCATTTGGCTTCCTTTTTTTTTTTTTTTTTTTTTTTTTCTTCTTCTTTCTTTAGATGGGAAGGAAGTAAGTACAGGTATAAGATTCATCTTGTAGTCTTACTATGACTGATGTTTGCTTTTCTCTGCATAGGCTAGGATGTTCACATACTTACATGTAGTTCTTCGCCAAGACTTACACAAGGACTTATTCATACAGCTATGATTTTCTCCCTGAGTTTTTTAGTAATTTTTTTCATAAACTAAAGACCACTGTTCCAAATGCTGCCTTAGAACTCTGGAAATTTGTAAAATAAGAACTCAGTATAAATATATTTAATTGTTTCTGGCATTTTTCTCATTTTAATGAAATATTTTACCTCTATGGTATTTGAATTTAAATCTACTTGATGTCATAGAGTTAAAACTTCCTATGCTCAAATTCTTAGTTGACAAATTGGTGGTGGGTTCTTCTTTCAGGGGTATTTTTGTGTGATCAGGTTTTTACTCTTGTTTTTGCAATGAGAAAAATATTTATGGAGAGAAAACTTCTAGGTCCTTCATTGACACTGTTGTGGAGTAAGCTTGGATTCAAAACTAAATTGTGGAGAAAGTGCTAAGAGAGGACAGATAGCCTCAGATAATTTTTGTTATTAACAAAAGAAGTTGAAGATACCAATTTGCCTGTATGCTTAATTCAAAAAATATCTATGCATGAATGAAACTATACACTGTGAGTAGTTCTGCTGTCTTCAGGTAAATGTCATCTTTTCAGATGTGGACAACCCTCTAACAGCCGTACTGGGGCATTTTTTGACTGTTACATGTGAACTGGTTCTGAATGAACCAGATGTAAAGAAGCTTTATCCTTTAAATAGTTAAGTACAATATACAGTCTTTTTCCTTTTCTTAAAATGACTTGTTAAGTCTATGTTGGGAAATAACAATTGTATGCATTTTCTAAAAGTTTAGCTAGTTTGGACAGATTAGTTCTGCACTCAGTATACTTTCTGTATATAAAGGTTTCCGATTTCAACATTTTCTAGAAGGAGTACCAGAATTCAAAATACAGTTTTCCATAAGAAATAATAAATTTATTGATTTTGAAACCTTGAATTTGATATTATATAGATCATGTTATTTCTGAGAACCAGTTTAAGACTCTTTAGAGGTGAAGGAAAGCACAGTGGCTTTTACCACAAGAAAGAGAATATTTTCTTCCAGTAGAATTTTTTACACTTTTTTCTCTTGATTAGGATATGAGTAATTAAGTTATTATAATTTTTATTGATTTTTTTTGTTATTATTGATGAAAATTGAACAGACAAGTAAAAATCTTTCAGATGTTTGGCTTCTCATGTGTTACTTCCAAAAGAGCTGGCAGCAAAAATCACTGCAAATTTTTATTTGTTAATTTTTGGTTTGTGTGAAGTGAATATGTGATGTTGGTACAAACACAGCAAATATTTTTTGGATAGCAGCTACTATCATAAAAGAGGGAAGAAAAAATTCAGCAGTCAGATCAAACAATGACCTAGGTAGGAGTCTTTCATCTCTAAAGGCTGTATATCTTCAAATTGGAGCCTAAACATTCTGGATCAGTGATGTAGACGGGCTTGTAATTATTTTCTCACTTTAAGCCAAATTAGTTGTTTCGTAGATTTCTTGTCTTTTTAAAATATATTAATTTACCTCTTCTTTATGCTCACCTAGATTAATCACCTATAACAGTGATTTACAATTGTTCACTGTCCCTCCATTATTGGTAATATCAGTGTAATCCTAATTGTTCTTCTCTGATCTCTCCCCATAATCAGTCCCTTATAAATCATATGTCTGAAGAGACAACAGATCTGCACTGTGTTTTCTTGGCCTGTTAGCTGATGTTTTTTTTTAAATTTTGCTCAGTCTTCAACCAATTAGATGTCATGTTGCAGCTGAACATAATGTAAGTCGTTAAGTTACTGGCCAGTTTCAATTGAGTACTGGAATTAAAAGCAACTGAACCTAGAATTACCAGTAAATTGAAAACAGTCCACCAACACTGCAGTACTGAAAGCTGTTCTTGGGTCTCTGCGTTGGGAGAAACAGGATTCCTGACATACTGAATGGTTTCCAAGAGACGCATGCTGTTTTCATGACTCTTCTAAGGAGAGTTTTTATCAGTAACCTTGGAAATCAAATTATCTCTGAAGCATTTTCTTTCTGTTACTTTTTCTCTGTTAGCTTACAAGAGTATTTTTTAAAAAGTGAGCATAAACAGGATATATGCATTTTATCTTCAACAGTTTGAAAATGGACCATTACAACCAGTAGCTAGCACTGTCACATTCCACCTAGAATCAAATCTGCAAGGGCCAATGAAAATGACTGCAGAGGAGTAAGATGCATGAAACTTCTTACATCCATGATGACTTTTGAATTTTAAACTGGCAATAACTCCTAGCCATTTTCATGTTGCATAGCTGCTTCTCTCTTATTGTAAAAATACAGTTGTGTAAGAATGCTTTGTGTATATATCTTGGTAGTCATGATGCCAATTGCTGGCAATCAAGACTATGTAACATGGTTTCAGGTTTTCTTGGGATCAGTGCAATTGTGCTGTCCATTTGCCTGAAAAACATTCAGTTTCCTAAGTTAATTGGTATGTTTCCAAATCTAATTAGCATGTGTTTAGCCTGTATTTCTAACACTAATGGAATTCTTTTAATAATACTTAATTGCAGATCATTTTTAAACCAAAGGCATATGCAAGCCCAGTGTGAAGGGTGAGAGAGCTTTGCAGTTGCACAACCATTACCAGGTTGTATGACTAAGGGCAGACCTGTCCCAAGTAGTGACAGCTGGTGGATAGAGGGATATTACAGGTACAGATATTCTCCTTTTCTCACGCACTCTGTGAGGCCACACTTGTTAAGTAGCACCATTATTGGTGTAAAAAAATAAAATCAGTATTCATTTTTTAAAAACTATAGAACAATCAGTTTTCATTGTAGTTTTTTTTTTTTTCCCCTATTTTTTTTCCTTTTTCACTTGTATAGCTTACCTTTCAGTCCAGGGATTACAAAGTCTAAGAAACCATGTAACTGCACAAAATCACAGTGTCTTAAATTGTAAGTAATTGTTTATCAACATTTAATAAATGCTAGTAACAGTGTGTAGATGAAAGGACAAACATACAAGAAATGTTCACTTTAAAGTGAACAGTACACACGTCAAAAATTAATCATCTGATACTGAGTTAGAAAGATCTACAGTTGATGTAAACTGTAGATCTCAGTTTACACAAGCTCAGAATTTGGTGCAGAGCTGTAAATGACTGCATATAATCCAAAGTATGAAAAATAAAAAGAGAAGCTAGAAGAATTGTTCAGACCATATCTGGAAAATCCTATGCAGAATCTAAATGCTGTATACTAAAATATATTTTACAAGTCTGTCTTGCTGCTGCTTTCTTAAAGCATAAATAACATGCAGAGAGATGTATAGACAGTTTGATTCATTGATGAACTGGGTGTATTTTACAAAACGTAGAATTGAAAGAGAGAGAGGAGCTCTTTGTTTAGATTTGGATGTGATTAAGTTACAGAGGAAGATGAATTTCTACTCATTTTTCATGAGTAGAAACTGAACATTCTGCATAGAAGTAGAATTTAAATCTAAAAATTTACACTTTAAATTAACTTTACAGTTAATCTTTTAATTTCTTATGTTATTTTACATGTTAATCATAGATATTGTGATTACTTTGCCTCTGGTGAATTTTGCACCAAATGTAACTGCAATAATTGTTACAACAATCAACTTCATGAAACTGAGCAATTAAAAGCCATTAAGATAAAGGAAAAAAAATAGAAAAAAGTACAGTAGATGTTGGTATCAGCTTCATGTATGAAAAATATAGCAGTATTGTTTTTCCACTAATTACAGTATTTGAAATATGTTATTTTTAACCTAAATAAAGCTAAGCGATGCCTCTGTATCATTCTTACATACAGAAATTTAGGGATTTCTTTCTTTCCTTTTATACAACTTCTGATACTTTGGATTGAAACTAGTGATGTGTTAACTGAAGGATAGTTTTTATGCTTGGAAGGAAGTATTCAGCCCCAAATTTAATCTCAGCAATTTTTTTCACTTGAAGGAAAACTTATTGTATCCCAAAGTCAGACAGTAGTTAAAGGAAAACAAATTATTATTATCCAAATTATTATTCTCATTGACAGATCTTCTGCAGTTTTCTCTGTTAGTCTTTTTAGTTGACCCATGCAGCAATGCCAGGTTGGCTCTCCTGGCAGCAACACTAAACCCGGCACTAGTGAGAAGCAGGTTGCTTCTGCATTTGGAGACTGATTTTTTTATTAGTGGAATAAAGAATAATATATGGGCTAATATTTGTGTGCATATCAAATTGCACAATCTGGGCAATAACTTAATCTAATATGTATTTCATATTTTGTAAATTTAAAAGCGATAATGAAATGGGCACATAACCTCTTTAACGTGCCTTTTAGTAGTCCATGGCATTGCAAGGTCTTGGGATCTAATTAAAAACTGATGTTTCAATCCAGTGTTGATTTCAGTGAATGGTCTTTGGGCCATTAATGAAACAAGGTATGTTTAAAACTTCTGAGATGTATGTAACTATGTATGCAAGGGTTCTTTCTTTGCTGAGAACTTTTTATTTCTAGTGAAAGTAGCCTCAGCAGTGAAAGAAACCCAGCCCCAAGAGAACAGTAGATGTGTCATTTAGGTTATTCCATAAAAACAATGTAAGCTGCTTACTGTGGTAGAGCCAAGTTAACTTTAGTGTTTTGGAATCTTTGAATTCCTGCTCTCACATGCCATGGAAGGCTTCTTTATTCATGGGCTTCATACCACCAACAATTAGAGCAGAAAGTAAGTACTTCTTTGTTAAACATTGGATCACAGTCATTCAGGTGTTTAAAAACATTTCTTTGAATTTCTCATAATCTTGCAATTTTTGTTGTAGGCCTGTTTTGATAGAAACCCAGAAGCTTTCTTATCAAAGTTTGGGAAAAAGAAACTAGGAGAAATTAAACCTCACCATAACAAAGGATGTAATTGCAAGTGCTCAAGATGCCTCAAGAATTATTGTGAGTGCTTTGAGGTGAGTCAAGTGAACTTTCCTCTCATCAGTTACTACCTTAACATTGACTAGGTTTTGTAAATAGTAGATGCTAAAAATAATCACTTCTCTTCTTTCGTTTCATTTTTAATGATAAACCTTTTGAACATAGAAGGCACAGTCTTTTTCTTGTCATGTCTTTGAAGAACTGAATCTGGCTGAAGTTGATCAGCTAAAATGTTTGGTATCAGGATCTCTCAGCCAATGCCTTGCTCAAGAAGACATGAGGAATGGTTTTCTGCTAATCCTTGTAGTTTCTTTGTATGCATGGTATTTTTTTATCTTGCAGAATTATCCACAAATTGAGAGGATGAGTGATCTCTCTGTGTACAGAGCATCAACCTCCACAGAGAATCCATGGAAAAAACCTGTCTTGCTTCCTTACTGTATTGATACTGATGGGCTTGTTCTAGGGGTATCCAAGACTAGCACAGCTAGAGTAAGTCCCTGGTGGTATAGCTCCAATGGTTGCCCAAATGTATGTTTAATTTAATACTTATACAGTTTTTATTCTTAGTATTTTATATTTACCAGGCTAAAATTATGGGTTTCTCTATTTGCAAATGCACTGGTTGCAAAAATTATGAAGAAAGTCCAGACAAAAAAATCCAGTTGAATGTGGTAAACTACATGGACATTGGAAATAGTGAAGGAAATTGCCCAGTTGTAACATCAGCATTCAAAACGTTGCCAAAATTGAAGACAGACAGGTGACTGTTTGATCACAGTGTGTATCATACTCGTGCTTGTCGCATGAACAGTAGTGTTAGACCAATTAGCTTGCTAAGTACAGCGCATGAAAGCGTGCACAGAACCGAGCTATGCTATAAAAAGAGCAGTATCACAGAATAAAGCTGAAGCCTTTTTACTCATCATATTGATGCGTCTTGCTTCCCCGTCTTCGGCCGCAACAGTCTGATTTAATTAAATTTTTCGTGTGACCATTATCGTAATTATCTAAGAAATAGTGACTAAAATGACAGACAGCTTTTTTACAAGGAATCGCTTCACATAGCGTTTGCCATCTCGTTTCTATAAATAAAAAGTTATCTAAAGGAGAAGCTATAACTACCCTTTAAGAAGTATACAGAGTTCAGGGATACATGCATTAGTTCCGCTTATGAAATAGCAGTTATTTATGTATTGATCACATTTCATTCTCTCTACCTTTTTTTCCACCTTAGCTACTTTGTTTTTCATTGAGTTTCTCTGTTCTGTATTTTTTCTGTGTTCAAGCATTCATTTCTAACACAACCTTGACCAAAGAAGTACTAACAAAATTATGTTATTAATGTGTTTGTGATGCTCAGTTAATAAGTGTGTTTATATCACTGCTTCTTTCCCATCTCCTCTTCCTTTGGTCTGTGTTCTGATGATTTTATTTGTGTTGGCGATTTGGATTGTAAGATGTTCTAAGAAGGCCGTACTGTCCAGATGTTGTTATGCCTTTTAATGTAGTTGTAGCCTAATCTATATTTTTAATTTGTTTATACTAATTTACCTAATACATAAAAACACTTGTTAATAAGAATTAAAATTAATTAAACCAATTCTTAATTGATTTTAGGGAGTTTTACTCCAGGCTCTAAAATTTTTAGTTCGCATATATCATTTTCTTTACTTCTTTGCATCAACTGTTACCTTGAGATTCTTATCTTAATTCCATTTTTAAAATACTTTCTGATAAGCTACTTTTAAAATATTTCAATAATTTCTGTTGTTGGTAGTGTATTGATGGGGTAGATTGTGCCACGTTATGCCTTTGCTTGAATAGCACAGTAGGATGAGTTATGTTATTAGTATAGTAGAATGAGTTATGATGCTAACAACTGTTAGTTTCAAGAGTTTATTCAAAGCAAGGCGGCTATGGTGCCATTCAGGGAATCCTTGAGGGGCTTGGTGCTGTTTTCTTGAACAACAGTAAACTGAATTTACATTTAGTACCTCCCAGACCCTGACTAAGCAGTTTTAGCACGTTTCCTTGTACACTGGGCAGGATCACAGAATCACATAACGTTAGGGATTGGAAGGGACCTCAAAGGATCATCTAGTCCAATCGCCTTGCCAGAGCAGGACCACCTAGATTAGATCACACAAGAACGCTTCCAGGCGGGTTTGGAACATCTCCAGAGAAGGAGACTCCACAACCTCTCTGGGCAGCCTGTTCCAGTGTTCTGTTACCCTTACTGGGAAGAAGTTCTTCCTCATGTTTAAGCGGAACCTCCTATGTTCCAGCTTATCTCCATTTCCCCTTGTCCTATCATTGGACGCAACTGAGAAGAGCCTGGCTCCATCCTCATGGCAGTTACCCTTTACATATTTATAAACATTAATGAGATCCCCCCTCAGTCTCCTCTTCTCCAAGCTAAAGAGACCCAGCTCCCTCAGCCTTTCCTCATAAGGGAGATGCTCCACTCCCGTAATCATCTTTGTGGCCCTGCGCTTGACTCTCTCAAGCAGTTCCTTGTCCTTCTCGAACTGAGGGGCCCAGAACTGGACACAATATTCCAGATGCAGCCTCACCAGGGCAGAGTAGAGGGGGAGGAGAACCTCTCTCAACCTACTAACCACACCCCTTCTAATACATCCCAGGATGCCATGGGCCTTCTTGGCCACAAGGGCACATTGCTGGCTCATGGTCATCCTGCTGTCCACCAGGACCCCCAGGTCACTTTCCCCTGTGCTGTTCCCCAACAGTTCAGTCCCCAACTTGTACTGGTACATGGGATTGTTCTTACCCAAATGCAAGACTCCACACTTGCCCTCGTTGTATTTCATTAAATTTCTCCCTGCCCAACTCTCCAGCCTGTCCAGGTCTCTCTGAATGGCAGCACAGCCTTCAGGTGTGTCAGCCACTCCTCCCAGTTTAGTGTCATCAGCAAACTTGCTGACCATTCACTCTATCCCCTCATCCAAGTCATCGATGAATATGTTCAACAATCCAGTACTGACCCTTGAGGGACTCCACTGGATACAGGCCTCCAACTGGACTCTGTCCCCTTGACCACTACTCTCTGGCTTCTATCCTTCAGCCAGTTCACAATCCACCTCGCTACCCGATCATCCAGACCACATGTCCTCAGTTTAGCTGTGAGGATGCTGTGGGAGACTGTGTCAAATGCTTTACTGAAGTCAAGATAGAGCACATCCGGTACTCTACCATCATCCACCCACTGGGTGATATCCTCATAAAAGGCTATCAGGTTTGTCAAGCACGACTTCCCCTTAGTGAAGCTGTGTTGACTGCCCCTAATGACCCTCTTGTCCTTGATATGTCTAGAGACAGCACCAAGGATAAGTTGTTCCATTATCTTTCCAGGGATGGAGGTGAGGCCGACCGGTCTATAGTTACCTGGGTCTTCCTTCTTGCCCAGGATCTAACTACTGCATGCAGAGAGAGGAAGAGGCTTGTTGTATAACCTTGCTATGTCTGCACCTCTTAGGCAGCATTTGTATAGATTAATTATGTAGCGTGAACACAGTTCTGATAAATTAGAAAAACTCGGAAGCAGTCTGTCAGAAGCAGAAACTGTTCATTGTAGAACAGTGAAATTCCTCGAAGGATATACCTTACAGTAACAGTGCAGCTACTCTGATTCAGCTCTGTGCATTCCAACTCTTAACTGAGTTTTGCAGTTTGTCTTTTGAATTTTTTTTGTGTATTTAAAATGGAGATATTTCATACTAGTTTCTTTTCCCCTGTCAGGCAACCAGCTGTATGTATATCTTGGGAAGAAGTGAAAGCAATATGTGCTTGTCTCCTGGTGCAAGCTGAAGAGGCAGAAAGGTTATTCTGATTGTCTAGCTGAGCAGATGATCATGGAGGAATCTGGGAGGTGTTTATCCCAGATCCTATGTGCGTAATTAAAATCTAAAGGGCTGAAAGTTGAATAATGTTCAATGTATTATAAAGCAAATAAGTATTAATATTGATATGTTGCCATAGTCTCCACAATTTTACTACTTAATGATCCTACTTTGATCTTTCGTAGGAATAATTTCATTGACTTCAGCTGAATTCTTTCTGAATTATGCTGGTGTAAGTGAAACCAGCACCACATCCAGCATTTTTCTGAGTAACTTAATACTGTAGAGAGCTTATTACATTTTCTACTAAAACATAGTAGTTAGGACTTTCTTAGCTGATTCTTCAATCTTTACCTAGATTCTTATTAAAAGTAAGTTTAACTCAAAATTACTTTATTGGATGTATATGTGAGTGGAGATACAGTAAAAACTGAGAAAGGATTTGCTGTCTTAGTTTGGTGATTTAATGAATTGTGATACGATTCAATTTCCGCTTTCTACGAGGTTTAGGTTTGGGTCTTCTCTGTTTTGGCAACTTATTTCCACTGTCTGCATATGGGCTATTTTTGGAAAACAGAGCAATGTTATTAGTAGGTTTGGTATTTACTATTGGAAAAAAAACCCACACCAGATTTTGTTCAACATCAGATTTGTTAGACAGATGAGCATTGTAAAGAATAGGAGGAAGATGACTTCCTTTTTACTCCCATTGTAAAGTACAGGAGTTTGTGATGGGAAAATCTTTTATGTGTATAGCATTTAGGATTGAAACTTGCCAAATCCTACATTTGCAATCCAGTTTCCCTTAAAGCTTGGAATAACTTTTGTTTAATTATTTGTTTTTCTTATGTGAACATTTTCTCTGTGACATTCCTTCCTCTTCTCATTATCACTTATGAGTTAACAGTAGATTTTATTTTCTCTAACAGGAGTAAGCTATTTGCTGTCATGTTTCTGGAAAAGAAAAAAAAAAAACTAAAATTGTCATCTGAATGAATTGACAGATTATATGATAATTAATGCTGTTTGTTTTTAGACATTTTATGCTAATTAATAACATATACTTAGATATTTTTGGCATTTATGCTTAAAAGAATAAAAATATTCCCCATGTCATGTTGATTCATGAAAAATTCTTGTCAGGACGGCAGGTGAGACTACCTGCTATTTAAACATTTTGTTTAATAAGAGGGAGGGCTTTTTTATTAGTGGTAGTTGATATGTGAATGGATTACATTTTATATCTTTGTTTTCAACAACTGCTGTTTCACAGGAGAAAACGGTTGCTCAAAGTGCTCCATAAGTGATACGGCAACATCTGTACGCTTCATCCCTTCTCGGACCCTTCAACTTCTAAGATGATTTCTCTTGGTTTTCGAATTAATACCTACATAAAGGCATCATTTTAAAAAGTATTTGTCCCCACATAGAGTTACTATGAGGTCATAAATCAGAAGAGCACACAAAAAATGTCAAGTCAATAGACACTCCATAAGGAAGCAAAGCATGAAGAAAAGAAGAAACAAGCCTGTATTGCTAAATCATGCCTTGAAGTCAAATCTCAGAAATCAACTCATTGAAATTCGCAGTGGAGGTGAGGTTCAGTAGGGTTAACACTAGTAAACAAGAAACTAGGGTTAGGACTAGTGATGTAAGTATGGATTTAAAATAGCAATTAGGAATAGAAATGCAAAATAAAATTTAAAATTACTGGGAGGAGTAGAAAATATATTTCTATATATTATATAGAAGAATTGTTATATTCTATATATTATAAGAAGAACTGTTAGAATCCTTGAAAAAACGTAAGATGTTGAATAGTCAAGAGGTTGGAAAATAAGAAAGAGAGAGGAAAATATCACAGGGAAAATTTGAAAGAAATGGTACAGAATTAAAATGGAATTAGAGTGGAGAGATACAAACAGCATAGTAAGGGAAATGAGTGAAGATGACATGAGCTGCAGCTTTGAGCAACATCCCTAGGCTCTCGTCTCTGATAAACAATGATATATAGAACACTGAGACTTTCACCCAGGGTGCCAGCTAAGAAGCCTTGAGGGAAGGTTTCTGCATTTGCTGCATTAATTTTGAAGTCATTATATAAACGAGATGGACATAAATGAAATCTATATCAATTCGATAATAAAAAATACAAGGCACTAGAATGTGTGAGAGTTTACACTGAAGCAACAAAGAAACAACTACTAGATGTAAAAAGCTGTAATTAATTACCTTTTTCATTACAGAGAGGAAAAACCAGTTTGATTTAATATTTTTTATATTACAGATGGTATAAACTCAGTCTGTAAAAACACTCCCAGGCTCTGTGGTGACTAGGATTGTAATTACATTCCGAAAACAAAACATCAATACAAAGCAGTAGTTGGTACCATATAATGTAATAGACAAGCCTAGCAGAAGCAATTTCTGCAACTGTTAACAAACTGAAAAACTCTGTCAAAGAGGGTTCTGTATTCAATAAAGAAAGCTAGAGCTAGTTTTGTGCTCTTATAAGTAATGCTTTTTGCAGTCAGTGGTGAAATTATTTGAGAACAACGTTGACACAGCCGCAGATTCCTTTCTGAAACAGTCAGGTAGGAAATATGTATCAGTTTTCTTAACTAAGTGTAGCTCTTTTGTACTAAAGAAAGGTTTGGTTTCATAACAAAGGTGAAAACTGTCGTGGGGAAAAGGGTGCCAGAAATCCAGACCTGAGTAGGTCAAGGGGTTGACAGCTGTACAGAAAAGATTGAGAAGAAAAACTTTAACTGAATAGAATCGGAACATGTGGGTACTATATTAGGGGAAAACAGCTTTTGAAATGAGTTGAGAATTTGCCTTTCTGTTTCATGCAAGGATCTTGGAAATTAGATACTAATGATTGGAACTTCTTCAAATGGCTTTATGTGAACAAGAAGAGCTGAGCAGAATTGCCTTCAGTCACTGCTGCTTTGTCTAGCAAAAGAAGCCCTGGCCGCAACAAATAAAGCAATAAAAAGGAAAAGGATAGCTAGGAGATAAAGCATGGATAGCTCTCTTTATAGCAGCTATTATGCTATTCTTGGTAATGGCTCTTCTTTCTTTTTGCAGTATGTTATAATTTGTTCAATTTCTGAATATGAAATTATTTCAGAAATACACAGTATTCATGTGTCTGAGGAAACAAGCAGGAATTATAAAACAAGCAAGCCCATGGATTCATAGCTCCATGAACTACTTACATTTTAACCATGCAGACAAAAACAAAGACGTTTTTGAAACAGGCCATGTGTCACTCTCATCTGAAAATAACAAGAAATATTCGTCTTTTTGAAATAGGTAGGGATAGAGATTGTTTTGATGGGCAAAATTGCAAAGTTACTCAACACAAAAATTCTTATCGAATGTCTTTTTTTTTTAATTTCATTTTTTACCTACTAGTATATCAGACAGTACTCTAAAGGCTTGGTAAACTGTTGTCAAGATCTCGAGTGCAGAGACCAGGAGTCAGCACATTAAAATTATTTCAGAGAGGTCTCCGAAATTCAGAAGTTCAGACACTTCTAAGAGGTCTCTTCTGGCTCACTGTCATGCAGTGCAGCTGAAGGGTGTTGCATGTGAGATCTTATTTAGAGCTATGGATTGTTAAATTCTAAATCATTTAAAAATATTTATTAGTAAATAGAAATAAAAATGATGTGGGAAACTGAATTCTCATATATATCTAGGATGAGACAAGTGGAACACAATACAATCCATATCTTTATGATATGAGATCTTTACATAAACATTAAGAGTTGCTATCCGATGCCTTCCCTATTAGTTAGGTTTGGAGTTTGTCCCTGTTTGATTATGGCAGATGTAATCAAATTTAGTCAACTGTTCTTAAGGATCATGGGGATTAAATGTTTCCCTTTCAATCTACAGATTAAAAAAAAAAATCTAACACATTCTGACAGAAGACCCCTTCTCTTTTTAGACTCCTTGGTCCATGTGAGAAGCTGACTTATATGAACAGAAGAAGAAAAGGATAAATGTCAGAAGAGCCCCAATTTTAATAGAGACCAGGATGCAGAGAAACATGACAGCAAACGGAGGTATGAGAGACAGACGTCAGAAAGAATGTCAGCTGGAGCAAAGTAGCGAGGTGCAAGAAATAGCTTCCAATTCTGTATTTGTTTTTCATCAGTTCAAGACAAAGGGAGGAGAAAAAAAAGATGTGAATTATATGGTGAATAAAAAGATGACTCTAAGCTACTAGTATTTATTCATAGATTCATAGATTTCTAGG